TCTTGTTTATTTTGCTGTTCGAACTGCCATTGTTGTAGGTTTTCTTGCCACTTCTGTAATCTTTCTTCTTGTTTCTTTTCTCGTTCTTCTTGTTTCTTTTCTTTTTCGTCTAACAACTGTTGTAATCTCTCTTCTTGTTTATCTTCTTTTCCCTCTAACAACTGCTGTAATCTCTCTTGTTTATTTTGCTGTTCGAACTGCCATTGTTGTAGGTTTTCTTGCCACTGTTGTAATCTTTCTTCTTGTTTATTTTCTTTTTCCTCTAACAACTGCTGTAATCTCTCTTGTTTATTTTGCTGTTCGAACTGCCATTGTTGTAGGTTTTCTTGCCACTTCTGTAATCTTTCTTCTTGTTTCTTTTCTCGTTCTTCTTGTTTCTTTTGGTGCTCTTGTATTGCTGCCATCAAGTCTGCTATGCTGTAGTAGTTTGATTTGCCGCTTCTCGTTTCCATTTTTTTTATCGTTCCACTTCTGACACCGATTTGTTATGTCTCTGTTTGCTAATTGATTTCCCGTAAATTCGTTCCGACGAAACTTTAGCGACACAAGTCCTTACTTAATAAAACTGGTTTATTCTTTCTGAATATAACTTTACCGATACATTTATTTTCAATAGTCGCTCTGTAACAAACGTTTTAACAACGAACGTTAACTTCAACAATACTTCTGACAACAGTTTAATTACTCACTACCTACACACACATTATTGTCCCGTCACGTTGTCACCCTCTTTTATAAACCAGACTACCCTATATCTAGTAAATGCTAGAGCATTCGCCAAGGTACAGGATAGTTCTAGAAACGTAGCGTGACACTAGTCATGTGACTTCGCTGACGCAACAATATGAAGGGCTACAGAAATATTTTAGAAAAGTGAATGTAATTTGAATTTGTGCAGTTTCTTTCGAAGATCTAAAGATTTAATGAAGTTTCACTAACTTTAGCTTTGTGAATGCCTTTTAGATATTTCATTTCTTCCACTAAATCTTCTGACACATCAGATCTACACTTGACAATTAACTCCCTAGTTTTTGAATGTAGATCTTCTCTGATATATCCAGATATTACCACAAAAATAAAAAAGACTGATTAATATCCATGGCTACTCTATATTTTGTAATGAGTCCATCAATAACAGATTCTATGATATTATGAAATGTATTTCATCTAAATTTTGCGGGCAGTTGTGGCAAAAAATTAATATTATTTGCAACCAGTTTAGATTCATTAAGAATTGAGCTCCAATGTTCACGCAGTCTTTTAAAATCAATCAACAGACTTTCAATGTTGCTCACTTCAATATCAATGGTAGTGTTACGACAGCGGGGGTCACGTGACTCTAGTAACACGTCATATTCTCGAAGGCTCGTGAAGTCTCGAGCTTTTACTAGATATGCGGTAGTCTTGTATATATA